TATATATTTTTTTTTTCACATAGACAGTATGCCTGGCTTGTGTTTGAGCCTGGGTCTTGCTGTGTAGTTCTGGCTGATTGTGAACTCACTATGTGGCCTAGGCAGGCATCCTAACTCAGCCTCTCAAGTGCTAGGATTAGAGGAATGCACCACCACATCTTGTTTAGACTTTAGTTATATTGTCTGTAACATGGTAACTGCTATTGACTGGATGTTAAAAAAAAAGATCAATCTTACAAAAAATAAAAGCCCTGGTGGAGGGTTGTTCCCTGGAGAAGCTACACAGTGGATAGCTGTTCCCTTAAACATGAAAAAGTACAGTACATTACTGTTGTAGTTCAAAAATTGAATGACAGAGAGGCAAGTCAAAAAGTTAAGCACTTTATTTTAGCTGGTACCCAGTGGCAACACCCGGCCCAAAGTGCCTAAGTGCGCGCCGAAGGGGGAAAGCAAAGGGGGGAGGCGTGGGGTTTATAAAGCTTAAAACCACAAAGCAGGTGTGGTACAACTCAGGGAGTTCAAGGAGACATGGCAGCTGCTGAGATTAGATATGGTTAGGGGTCTGGAGAAGTTCTTGGAATTCGAGGGTGGGGCGAGGGCTTATAGCAATGGCTTGCAGAAACAGAAGTTTTGTGAGATAGGCACATTTTACAGCAGCTGACATGGTTCACTAAGACGGCGCATACAGAACAGGATGGCGGTGCTTTGGTCAGGTTATAACATTCCCCACTGGTTTTTGTGACTGAGTCAAATCATTGACTCGTCAGGAACTTGTAGGCGAGGTTATATTAAATTATTTTGATATGGGTCACCATTGTTAATTTACTCCAACAGCAAGGAACATTAGTTAACAACAGAGTCTGAGTAGGTGGGTTTTTCTAGAACTCTAGAACAGGCAATAATCTCCCATGTCCCCACTGTTTTTTGTGCCACCTCTTGAGCTGTAACGTCAGCTAGGTAGTTTTTTCTTTTGTCTTGAGGTCTGGCCCACAGTGGGGAGCATCTGTTTCTCTCAAACTGTAAAGTCATCTTGTCTTTAACCTTGTCTCCTTGAGGGCCTAGCCCTGTCTGACTGTCTATAATATTTTTATTTTAACTCAGCTGTCTGTAACATTTTTCCTCTGAAGAAGTAACCCAGACTGGGCGATGACCGCTCTGCCTACTTCAGGCTGAAATGGGTCGCAGTGGTTGACCGGCAGTCAGAGACACTCTTTAGAGGTTCTACCTAAAAGGCCCTCAGTAGACACCAAGCATTTTTATCTTGGGTAGGCAGAATGGTTTTAAATCTGGAGGAGGTAAAGCCAAAGAAACAAACAAATAATAACATCAACAGGATATAGTATTCACTTACCAGATCTGGAATGTAATAACCTTTTGATGTTTGTAATTATAAAAACACTAGTCAGAACATTTTGTAGGTCCATTAGCAGATATCTTTTTAATGTAGGGTTTAATCTTTTATGGCCATTGGGTACTGGAGCACATGAATTGCTGGACCTATGGAAAACACTGAGTACTTTCTGGTTGGCAAGTGGGGCCACTGGCTGGGTAACTGGCAAATTTACATGAGCATCTATTAAAAGTTTAACAGGTTTTCTTTTTATATTGGCTGTTAATATGGGTTTCCTCAGGCTGAGGGGAGAAGACGCATGACCATTTTAATCTGAAACTTTTTCTGACTCCCATCATAAACACATTCCTTTTTTTATTCTGCAACATCCTTGGACATTTTTTTTTGCTTGAAATGTCCCTTCTCACTGTCTGGGTCCAGGGAAGCATAACTTTTTCCTTTTTCCTGACTGGCCTTCTTTTTTGTAGGCTGCTATTATCAACACTTTTATTTTCCATCTATAATTTCATTCTGTATCTTTTCTACTATGAAACAACTCAACTCAGACAAATTCATTTCTGTAAACCCTTCTAACTTCTGCAGCTTGTGTCAGATATCTGGGGTCCACTGAGTAAGGTACAACTTCTTGGTTCCTGCAGGTAGCCCTGTCCAGTGAACACGAATATAACTTTCCTCGTAATGAGGCAGGAAACCCAGAGAAGACTCAGATCACCTGGGCTCTATCAGGTGGACAGTTAGATTAGGCTTTAATACATGTTTCTATAGACAAAATCTGGTGGATCCCAGCAAAAGGAATCATAATCTAGCACATCTGCCAACAGACTCCACCTGCCAGTAATCATACAGGTAAAATCTGTCAACAAATATGCTAGACCACCTGGGTTTTGGTATCTTTTAGGATAGAACAAATCTTCTGAGCGATTAGAACATATATAATCAAAGCATGAACATTTGAGCTAACAGGTATATTTATAAACCTTTTTGAGACCTAGCAATCATAACTCACTAGCTCTTAGACCCCTTTATTTATGGAGTCTGACAGTTTGTTATAAATCTCTCTAGGTATACTTTTAATTATCTCTAAATTTTAAGAACATATGGAAAACCAGATTAATTTTTTTTTACTGTCAATGCTTTTAAGTAATTTAAGTACAGTTTAGCATATTTTCCGTAGTTACACCTGTTTTACTATCAACATGAAATACCTGAGTTACATCAAAAATCAACCAGGCTAATTTAATATACTTATCATGAAATACACAGTATTCAGGCAGATTTAACCAATGTCCCATTCAGTTTTGGATATAGCCCCTATTGTAAGCAAGGGGCACTATGGAGGGATTTATATTTTTAACATTGGTTCTGAGTTTTATGTTTTAAAAACAAGGCCTGGATTTATCTATATGCCCAAAGCTATTGGACACTTTTTACATTGACAGGCTTGTATCTATATATGAACAATATATCTCAATTACAACTAAAATAAGATGATGATGACTGGAATAAAGCTCAGGGTTAGAGAAAGACAAAGAGACCTGTGCCAATATCCAGCAATAGGCTGGGTTGTTCCCTGTAGTTGTGATTACTCAGGGCTCCTCCATGGAGATGACAGGTAGAGGTGACAGTCTGGCCAGAGGGAGGAGGCAGGCCCAGGACCCTTCAGTCCTACTCACCTGGGAAGCTGAGTCTGAGCTCTGGGGCCTCCGCCTCAGAGTGCAGTCTCACTTCTAGTGGCTGCCTTGGCAGTCAGGGCATGCCTGTGGGCCTCTTAAGGCAGTCCCTCTTACAGTGGCCTGGCTTCTGACAGCAGTAGCAGATGAACCTCATCGTCGTTGAGCTCTTCTTGGAGCCCAGAGAATCAGACTTAGGGTCTGTTTTAAGGTCGCAACAAAGGCAGCTGTTTTTGGTCTCTTTGCTTTTTTTTTTCCTGGTTCTTTCCCAGTTTTAATTATAGCACATTGTTTTCTTAGTGTCCTATAAAGTATCAAGTGAGTTGTCTGGAGCAAAAACTATCTTTTATAGCTCTTTTTGATATCTGAAGCTGACTAAGTAATGAACTTATCTGTAGAAGTAACCTGTCCCCTTACTGAATTAGCATCTCAAAAAGTATACTTTACCAGTTTTTTATTAAACATTTTAAGAAATCAGAGGGATGTTTATCTTTTTCTTGGTAAATAGCTGAAAATTAATAACTAAAGGTTTGGTCTTAGTTTTTAGACCTTCAAGAATATATACTAGGAAATGTTTTTATTATAATCTCCTGCCTGGCTATTAGGCCAGCAGGGGTCTGACTGCTCTGGCTCCAGTGGGAGCAGGTAGTTCCTGTTACAACTAAACCAAGATAGACTGGCTGTTTATCTTTTGGTTGTTTTAAAATTGACAATATGACGTTTATCTCCAAATGTAACATCAGTTTATAATGCTGCCTGTCTTTTTTATAGAATTCAAAACTTGGTTTAAGATTAACATTACATAGTTTAGCAACTACACAAGATTTAACCTTGCAACTCACAGGTGAAACTTATTATCATTTATCATCACATTTTACATATTGGTAAAAACACAATACAGCTGGCAAATATCTTATTCTCAGTTAACACGTAAAGCAGATGTAAGCTTTTTTTTCTGATAACCACTATTGTAAGCTGTCTCAGCCTTGTTTTTGAAAGTGACTCATTAACTTGTTTTACTGAAAAGCTCAGGTAAAATTCCTAATTTACTAGCAGAGAGAAAAAGTACAATAGGTAAGTGGAGAGATTTTAGTGGTCAGGAGCCAGTTTCCACCAAGGAACCTTCAGGTATGGCGCCTTAACCCCTTAGGTATTCTCGGTTTCTTTTGACTCATACAACCAGAGATGTCTCCAGAAAGGAAGCCAGCAGTTTCCTGGTTACCATTTTATCAGCCACAGACTTCAGTGGGGATTCACCAAAGAACAGCTAGGGAAACCTGTCCTCTGTTTTAAAGAGTGGTAGCTGTTTTAAGAGTATTTATTTATTTATTTATTTTTATTTATTTATGTGGGGGCCAGCTCAGCCCACCTGGGGGCGGGGCTGGCTGGCATGTGGTGCTGGGGGATTGAACCGTGATCCCTGTGCTTTGCTAAGCTTGTTCTAAGTAGGTGCTTTAGACCAATGAGCCATCTCACCAGCCCAAGAGCATTTATTAACTGGCAGAGTAACCATTGTTTATCCAGATTTTACAAGAAATATCTAAAAAGCCTGAATAAGATTACCTAAGTACTTTACAGTAAAAGCCTTAAGTCTTTAATTATCTCTTATCTAATTAAATGACAACCAAACCTAGAACATTTTGACCTTTTTTTTTTTAAGTTTAGCTATCATTTAACTGGCCAAGAGATTGTCTCCCCCCCCCCCCGAGATTGTCTTTTTATACTTAAATGTTTTGGTCCCATAAGTGTACTGCTTTTGGAGATAGCTCCTTCTGGTGTCACCCTGAAGTTGGTTCTCTCCACTCTGTCTCAGGTTTAGTCTCCCTAAGGAGACCTGCCCAGAACACTAAGCTGGGACATGGCTTTTATATGTGTCCTCCTGGACGGCCACAGTATTTCTTTGTCTCATCTGACCCAGAGACGGGGTATGTGTCCTTTCCTAGAATGACTTTCCTGTCTTCGGTGTTAACAAATGCTCATTTTCTAAGGGCTTTACTTTGCTGGAACAGTGAGAGTTTTTCTAATTTTTACATGCCTTTAAAAAGGAAAGTGCAAAGAGGTGGGAAAATTAGGAGTAAAGTCAAAGCAAGGAAATTGAAATAGATCAGGCCTGACATTTCCTCTAGCATGTAGAAGGGGTCAGAACCAGTCTATCCCAGTGAAACCTGTCCTCCAAGTCTTTAAGAACGGTTGCCGACCTGATGTCATTTAACTGGCAAAAGGAGTCCTGTTTTTTATATACAGGCATGTAGGTTTTCTAAGTCTAAGCTGGCTAAAAGTCCCATTTCACAGAAGTTTACATAAAATCCAGTAGGAAGCTTATTAACTTTACCCTCTCTAGGGGCCGGTGAGATGGCTCAGTGGTCTAAAGCACCTACTTAGAACAAGCTTAGCAAAGAACAGGGACCACGGTTCAATTCCCCAGCACCACATGCCAGCCAGCCCCTCCCCATGGTGGGCTGAGCTGGCCACACACACACACACACACACACACACACATAAATAAATAAAATTTAAAAAAAAAACTTTACCCTCTCTAGCGCTATTGTCTAAAATCGAACAAAGAATGCCAATATATTTAACAACTAGTTCAAATGTAGCATATACAAATATAAAATAGTAATAAAATGTCCCATTAAAGAAATATCATAGCCTTATAATAATTTCATGTTTTAGCTTAAATTTACCAACATATTTTTTAAAAAATTTTTATTTATTTGTGTGTGTGTGTGTGGCCAGCTCAGCCCACCAGGGGGCGGGGCTGGCTGGCATGTGGTGCTGGGGGATTGAACCGTGGTCCCTGTGCTTTGCTAAGCTTGTTCTAAGTAGGTGCTTTAGACCACTGAGCCATCTCACCAGCCCCTACCAACATATTTTGACCAGTATTTTAACAACTGCATAATGAATTTATCTGTGTACCGGTTGACAGGTGGAACAAGCAGGTTCTGAGGGTGATGGTCGGGGAGTCATAGCCACTTCTTATCAGTTGGAACTGCCAGTATGACCAGGTGGAATTGGCCAGTTGTCTGAGAATGGTGTCCAGAACAGCAAACCTTGAGTCATTTCAGGGGGTCAGCAACAGACAGTGGAGGATGTCAGCTCTGAGTCCTTCAGGGAGGGTAGGAGGGGGATCCCGAAAGAGTGCAGGTGGGTGGATCCTGGATGAGGTCAATCCAGACTTATGTGTAGATGATCTCATCTGGATGGACAGGCGGGTCAAAAATGACTCAGCGAAGAAGGCCTGAGCTGTGGAGGGAACAAAAGTGCCTTCGGAAGGCCAAGAGACATTAAAGGAGGGCCATTCATGTTCACAAAAAGACTGCAATTTGCCAGGAAACACAGGTTCTCCAAATCCCTTTTGCTCGTTCTCTGAAATCTTTTAAAAACATTTGTCCCATGATGGTCGGGGATGGACAAAGAAAGACAGGCAAACACAAATAGACCGAACGAATCCAAAGACAAGAAACAGACTAGCCCAAACCAAATCTCAAAGAGAAAACAGACTGGTCCAAACCAAATCTCAAAGAGAAAACAGACTAGCCCAAACAAAATCTCAAAGAGAAAACAGACTAGTCCAAACCAAATCTCAAAGAGAAACCAAATTGGAAGGCGTTCCCTCCACCAACCGGAGGGCATCCCCTCCACCAACTGGAGGGCGTCCCCCCCCCAAAGTTCGGCTGCTGAAACAAATGTGCCCACTAAACCCAGTAAAAGGCCTGTTATCTTACCTCGTTGGCGCCTTGAGATATTGAACGGGAGAGTTGAGTTCCCATGGGGATCCCGGATGAGTACCCAAATGTTGTAGCTCAAAAATCGAATGACAGGCAAGTCGAAAAGTTAAAGAAGCGCTTTATTTTAGCTGGTACCCAGTGGCAACACCCAGCACAAAGTGCCTAAGTGTGCGCCGAAGGGGGAAAGCAAAGGAGGGAAGCGTGGAGTTTATAAAGCTTAAAACCACAAAGCAGGCGGGGTAAAACTCAGGGAGTTCAAGGAGACATGGCAGCTGCTGAGACTAGATATAGTTAGGGGTCTGGAGAAGTTCTTGGAATTCGAGCGTGGGGCGTGGGCTTACAGCAACGGCTTGCAGAAACAGAAGTTTTGTGAGATAGGCACATTTTACAACAGCTGACATGGTTCACTAAGACGGCGCATACAGAACAGGATGGCGGCACTTTGGTCAGGTTATAACAATTACTTTTAAAATGTTCTGAGAAGCGAAAAAAACCAGTTTACCTCGATTTTCACCAGTGTTTCCCAAACTTACTTGCACCACTATGCTTGGCCACAAGTTATTTTCTGAAACACAGTTTGGACTACCGATGTGAATATTCTTAGATATTGGATCATATAAGCAAAAAAGGAAATAGAACCCTGTAGGTAACATAGTCCTTGCTGCTGGGGCCTGGTAGTGCACACCTTTGATTTTCCTACTCTTGGGGGCTGAGGTGGGAGACTGAAAATCCAAGTCTGGCCTGCAACGTTTATCTTTATTTTCATTTTTTATTTATTTATTTTTTTGGTGGAATCGGGGATTGAACTCAGGTCCTTGTGCTTGCCAGGGAAGCGCTTATTCCACTGAGCCATCTCCCTGGCCCCTTATTTTTATTTTTATTTCTTTATTTTTAAAAGGGATTTATTTTGCTCACAGTTTGTAAAGGTTTTAGTCCATAATCAGCTGGCTCCAAGGCAGAGAGGCACACGGCAGAGTGGCAACAGTGCATGGCATTGGAAGAAGCAAAAGCAGCAAGAGAGGAGGAGAGATAAGCCTGTTTCTGTCCCTTGTATTGTATCCAGTCTATCACAATTAGGGCAGTGCCATTCTGATCAGTGAAATGATTTAGTAATCACCCAATCTTAATCCCGGCACTCTTAATCCTAGCATTGAACCATGAATTTATCCCAAACTCGAGATTCAGCTATCTCTCATAAAGCCTCATTGTCCCATCTAAAAGTGCATGAAACTTTGGGGACATTGAGATATAACCCATAAGTTTCCCTGCAAAGACTAGTCCCTCAAAGACTGATGAATATACCTTTATGCAAAAGGCATTTTGTTTATCTCTAAGAGTTGCCAAAGTCCTAACAGTTTCAGCATTGCTAAAAAGTCAAGTCCAAAGCCTCCTCTAAGATTTTTAAATTTTATTTAATTTTTAAAAAAATGTTTCCTTTGGGCTGGAGAGATGGCTCAGTGGTCTAAAGGACCTACTTAGAACAAGCTTAGCAAAGCACAGGGACCACGGTTCAATCCCCCAGCACCACATGTCAGCCAGCCCCGCCCCCTGGTGGACTGAGCTGGCCACACACACACACACACACACACTAAATAAATGTAAAAAAAATAAAATAAAATGTTTCCTTTATTTATTTTTTTCTTTCTTTCTTTCTTTTTTTTTTTTTTATGGTCAGCTCAGCCCACCCTGGGGGCGGGGCTGGCATGGCATGTGGTGCTGGGGATCGAACCGATGTCCCTGCATGCTTGCCTAAGCAGGCGCTTTAGACCACTGAGCTATCTTGCCAGCCCTAATTTTATTTTTATATTTTTATTTTTTTTCTCTCCTCTGAGGTTTAGGCACTCTTAACTGTGAGCCCCTGTACAAATGAAAAGAAAAAAAAAGCATAAAAAAGTGCTATAGCACAAGAAAATCAGTAGTGCAAATCCAAAATCAGAAGGGCAAACATTAAGTCCTGTTGTTCCATGGACAGCATTCAAGGCAATCGGAGGCAAGGTGTAAGCCTATAGGGCTTGGGTGGCTTTGCCCCATGATACCTTCAGTGGTTACAGATACCATGACCTCTCTCTAGGGCTTGCTTTGCTTCCTCCTTGCAGTTCTCCTTAGACAATCCACATTCCTGGCTTCTTTAAACTTCTGGGGTCTCATTGCATCATTGACTTCACACTCACACCTTTACACACTGCCTTGTCAGGGGCGTACTGCCTGGCCTCCCATGCTTTCTTTTAAATTTTTTTTTTTTAATGTATTTAGTACAGGGTCGACAGGGTCTCACTACACAGATCAGACTCATAGTGATCCTCCTGTTTTCAGCCTCCCAAGCGCTGGGATTACAGGCATGCGCCTCCATGCTCATTCTCAATCACTGTCTCAGCATGCCCCAGGAGTGGCTCAGCATGGCACTCTAGGGATCGAACCCCAGTTCCTGCATCTGCCTAAGCAGGTGCTTTAATCTGTTGAGCTATCTGGCTGGTCCTTTTAAAATCTTGATGAGAGCCTTCCTGATTCCACATCTTTTGCATTCTGTATTGTCTTATTTACTCTTCTCTCATTGCTGGGACAAATACCTGACACTCAAAATGAAGGAAGGAAAGGTTTCTTTAGCTCACAGTTACTGGAGGTTTCAGTCCATATTCAGCTGGGTCCAAGGCAGAGCAGCACAAAACAGAGGGCAACCTTTCATGACTAAGGCAAAGAGCAAGAGCAAAAGGAGAGGTAACAGCAGCTCAAGCAGCTAGCTTCTCTTCCCACCTTACATTGTAATGCAGATTACCTGCCCCAGGGCAGGTGCAGCATCCACACCCACAATAATCAACCACAAACTCCAGGAGCCACCGCCTGACTGCATGAGCCTTTGTAGGGACAACTACACACAAACCATAATATGTATGTGCCTAAAACTGGAACCATATGGAAGACGCTAACATCTGCTGCCAGCTGGAATGGTATCCAGGCTTCTCTCTCTCTTGGCTGTAGGGTTTGAGTGCCTGGATTGTTGAACACTCTAAATCCAATCCTGAGGAACAAATTATTTAGGATGCCACCATTCTGGACCATGGTACTCTGGGGGCATTCATCTTCAAGCAAAGTTTTGACTTCTGCCATTTTGAAGCTGTGAAGGGTAGAGAGAGTCCTGCTGCTTCTGGTGATGTCCTTAGGAAATCTTTTTTATTGTCCTGTTTCTTCTCAGCAGTCAAAAATCTCTGCTCTGTCTTCGCAATCCACAGCTTTACTGGAGCTTCCTTTCTAGCCAAACTCAGTGTCAAATCATCCTGCTGAGCTCTTTGCTCTTTGATTCTCAACATAGATCTGGCTGGAGCCCCCAGTAGTAGCCATGCCACCACTTGAACATTAGAGTACCTTGAAATTTCGTCTGCCTAATTAATTAGTATGACACGCTTAATATTAGTCTCATGCAAAGTATCTGGACACAAGCAAAATGCAGACAGACTTACTGCCCACCCATAACACACATTGTCTGAAGGTCCACAGTCAATGCAGCCCTTCTCAGCAGAAACCTCCAGAGCCTGGTCTTTTACTGGCAGGATTTCTATCAGTCTTCCTGTTTTTCTGAGCTATAACCAGAGTCTCCTATACAGTACAGCGTATAGTGCTTCAGCTCCACACTTTCAACCAGCATCTCTGAGCCTACCCAAATTCAGTGGAAAGGCCCCAGATTCATCCCCAGCACCACCAAAACCCCTCAGAACAAGGCAAAAAGTAACACAAAGTCTCATAATGATTTAAAACACAAAACATCAAAACAAAAGAATAGGGTGTAGTGGAACATACTTGTAATTCCAGCTACTTCAGAGGCTGATGCAAACAGATTATGTTTGAGGCTAGCTTTTGGTATTTAGTGATTTATGAAGAATCTATCTCAAATTATTTTATTTTATTTTTTGTTCTTTTCATTTTTTTTTTTTTTTTTTTTT